ACCCAAGTTTCCACCAATTTTTCTCACTCGCTCTCTTTCGTCCCAACCAACAATTTTACCCCCCAACTTCACTACTGACCAATTTGTCGCTGGAGCCCCGGAATGGGCTTTATCGCTGGTTGGCTACTCCATCGGGAAACGCCCTTTCTATGAAGCCCTTCTAGCGACGATCAAAAAGACATGGCAGCTCAAAGGAGAACTTTCCCTCCTCACCATGGACGACGGTTTCTTCTTGCTCAAGTTTACCGCACTTGAAGACTATGAGCATGCATGGACAGGGGGCCCTTGGTTTTTCTTCAGGAAGCCATTCATTCTGCAGAAATGGAGTCCAGACTTTGTTCCTAAGCGCGAGGAATTTCCTTCCATACCTCTCTCGGTTAAAATCTTAAACTTGCCGCTTTCTCTTTGGACACCGGAAGGTATTTCTAAACTTGCTAGTTGCATTGGTATCCCTATAGCTGTAGATGCTCTTACAGCGGCTAAAACCCGTCTCACATTCGCGCGTGTATGTGTGCAAGTTACTAGCTCTTCCCCTTTACCTGAAGAAATCTTCTACTCTGTTGATGGCAAAGTCACCCCGCTTCGTGTGGCCTACGACTGGAAACCTGAACATTGCTCACAGTGCGGTTCTATTATGCACCCCCCCACTCTCTGCCCTAAAGACCCCATTTTGAAAACTACTGTCAACACCCAGCCCAGGGGACGTAGCTCCAGTAGGAAACCCAGACCATCTCCTCCGCCCAGACTCAATATTCCAAAACCCACACAGCCTCTCAAGGTGAACAGCTTGGTCACCACTCTCATACCCACTCAAATTCTCACTAACAATAACACTGTTGGCCCAATTCTTCCTAACTTGAATTCACCCTCTGGTGAAGTGCAGGAAAATCCCGAACCCTCATTCAAAACCAAAGACCCCCCACCCATAAACACAGCCAATAAATTCCAAACTTTAATCGACCTTGATAAATCTGATTAGGTCCAACCTCAAAGTTCAATTCAGGGCCCAATCCTCAGTAACATGGCCAATGCCAATACTGAAAGTACCAATCTCATACTCAATCACAACAGTCCACCCCACACATCTCCCCGCAACCATCAACCTAATATTCCTTCAACTTCAAATGATACAAGCAGCTCCACATCCAATACTCCAAAAGCCCAACATACTAGCAATCAAAATCAAAAACAAACTAGAGGCAAGACCGGAAAAAAGCCTCTACCCCCAACAACAAAGTCCAATGACCCTTTCCAATTTTGCAGCATGGAATATTCGCGGGTTTAACAACCCTGTCAAAGTCAAAAGCTGCAAAAATCTTGTTCAATCCCACAATCTTGACCTCCTCTTTATCCTTGAAGCTAAAATAACCCTTAATAATCTCCAAAATGACTGGTTCTTGGCTAATCATCAAATTTTTCCAATAGAAGGTAATTGTGACAATTTTCAGGTTTCCAATCCGGGTCGTATTTGGGTTAAGTGGAATAAGGGCGCCTTAAACTTTGCCCCTCTTTTTGTGACTAATCAACTCATACATGGCACTATCACCACTAATGCTAATGCAGCCTGCACTATTACTGCTGTTTATGCTAGTAAATCTTATTCTGAGAGGCAATCTCTATGGAATGATATCCAAAAGTTGGCTGGTTCTATTAATTCCCCTTGGGCTATTTTGGGGGACTTTAATTGCTGCCGCGAGCTGGAAGAAAAAATTGGGGCACACCTTTGACAGTCTCTAAGATGGGAGATTTCAATAATATGGTTTTCAATGCTGGGCTTTATGATCTTTCCTCTGTCGGGCACTATTTTACTTGGCATAATCAGCAGCCTCAAAATCCAATTCACATTAAACTAGACTGTGTTCTAGTCAATGACAAATGGCTCTACTGTTTTCCCAGCTCTTTCTACAAAATTGCAGACCCGGATTGCTCTGATCACTCCCCTCTCATCCTAACTTGCTCCACTGACAACAAACGTGGCCACCGCTTCTTATACAAAAACTACTGTACCAAGTTTCTTGAATTTTGGGCTTGCCTTTTGGAGGTTTTTTCTCAAACCAATGAGAGTAGCCCTCTAAGCTCCTTCAACTTCAAACTCAAAACCTTGAAGAATGCTATGAAACACAAAAGCTGGACCAATGCTAACCAGATTCAAAGAGACATTGATAACCTCAAGGAACTTCAGCACTCTGTTATGTCTCAAATTCAAAACAAACCTCTTGATCCTATCTTGAATGGCAAGCTCAACCAAATTAATTCAAACCTTGGTTTTTACCAGGATGCACTCTCTAGATGGATTATCCAAAGAGCCAAGATTAAATGGCTTACCCATGGTGAAGATGATTTGAAGTTTCTCTATTCCAAAATCAACATCACCAAAAACTACAATAGGATCAAGGCTATCTCAAATGACCAGGGCACATATACTAAGCATGCTGACATTGCCAGCGTTTTTATAAATCACTACAAGAATCTCTTCAATACTACTGCTTCCAACCACTTGGCATCTGACATTCCTGCTGGGAGACTGATCCCAACTCACCTCACTTCATCACTCATTGCTCCGGTTTCTAGGGAAGAGATTAAAAACATAGTTTTTTCTGGCAATTCTAATACTGCCCCTGGCCCCGACGGCTTCACATTCGACTTTTATAGATCCACTTGGAATGTCTTATAGCATCAACTTTGTAGAGCTGTCACTTCTTTTTTTACCACTGGTTTCATGCCTAATCAGATAAAAGCAACTGCTATTGCCCTCATCCCAAAGCAAACTCATGCTACCAGTGTCAAAGACTATAGACCCATTGCTTTGTGCAATGTCATTTACAAAATCATTGCTAAAATCATTGCAAATAGGATAAAGTTGGTGATGACGCACATCATCCACCCTAGCCAAGGTGGTTTCATTCACAAAAGAATTATTTCTGATCATATTATTTTGGCAACCGATATACTTGGTAGGTTTAACCTTAAAGCCAGCCACAAATACTTATGTGCCAAGTTTGACATTACCAAGGCTTTTGATATGGTTTCTAGAGACTTTCTCTACAAAAGATTAGAAGATAAAGGATTTCCTAGCTTGTTCATTTCTTGGATCAAAGCTTGCACCTCCAATGTTCACTTTTCTATCTGCATTAATGGGGTGCTTGAGGGCTATTTTAACTCTACTTCGGACATTAGGCAAGGCTGCCCCCTTTCACCCTACCTCTTTGCTATCATAATGGATGGTTTGTCCTCTTTATTTGAATGTGCTACTGCTAGCAACTCTCTCCAGGCTATCAAAGCTGGTAGGTGTGAGGTTTCCCACCTTATGTTTGCTGATGATCTCTTAGTGTTTTGCAAGGCCACTGTGAGAAATGCCCACGCCATTAACTCCATTCTGGATGATTTTGCTACTGTCACTGGTCTCCATGTGAACCCTCTTAAAAGCTCTATTCTGCTCTCTAAGAACACTTCGGCAGCTGATGATATCTGTAATATCCTTAATATTGAGCAATCCTTTGCGCCTATTAAATATCTGGGCTTACCTATTTTCTATAGGAAACTGAGACTAAGTGACTTTAACCCTCTAATTCAAAGAATTACTTCTCAGTTAGAGGGTTGGAAAGCAAAAATGCTATCTTTAGCTGGGCATGTGCAGTTTATTGAATTCACTATCTCTAACACGTTGGCATACTGGATTCGTGGCTCTATATTACCCAAAGGTTGCTGTAAGCAAATCTCTAGGTTATGCTCTAGATTTACCTTTTTTGGGAATATTCAAGAGAGGAAGCTTGTAACTGTGTCCTGGAGTAAAACTTGCTGTCCCAAAATTAATGGGGGACTTGGTATCCCTTCTATCAACTCTCTTAAGCATAGCTATGCTTGTTCTATCATTTGGAGATTCTTAAATGCTGATTCTCTCCTCTTTTCCTGGTGGAGAGCTAATTATCAATCTTTTTGGAAGCCTAAGATCAAAAGCAACTCTCATTATTGGGACTATTTATGTGTTAAAGCTAATGAGATCAAAAACAACCTTACTCTCTCTGTTAATGCTTCCAGCAACCTGTCTTTCCTTTGGGATCCTTGGTGCTGGGGCATTTCCGTGGCTGATCATTTGAAGAGCATGAACAACACTTCCAGTTACTCCTCTCTCTTTGACTGTACTCTCTCACAGCTCATTTTAGCTGACAACTGGAACCTACCTCATTGTTTGGATATCCATATGGCTGCTGTTATTCATTCTGTTCCTATTGAATCCTATTCTGAGAACCACCTCTGGAACAACAAGCAAAATCCAACCTTTAATGACTTTAATTCTCAGTTTTATGAAAATCTGAATGTGGTTCCTTGGCATAAGTACATTTGGCATAAGCACAATGCTCTCCGTTTCACGGTTTATGCTTGGTTGATGTTTAATGGGGGCTTAAAAACAGCGATGTCCTTGCTGTTCGGGGTATATCGGTCCCAAATACCTGCTATTTTTGTCACATTGATAGGGAGTCTATTACTCACCTATTTTTTGAATGTTGTTACACTTTTGACATTGCAAGAGCTCTTTTCCCCTGGTTGCATAATCTCTTTATGAGGACAAATTTTCATCAGGTTTTTGATAGCATTTGTGAGCAAGGTTTTATTGCTAAGACTAAAAACCAATACCTTCTTATGGCTGCTGCCTCGATTTACTTTATTTGGAGAGCTAGAAATGACAGATTATTTGGTGGCATCATTGACAGCAAAGACACTATTATTGCTAAAATCAAGAAAGCAGTGATGTTAAAAAATCTGAGATGGAAACAGTAAACCTATATGCTTTTGGGCTCTGGGGTGTTTCTATGGCACCGATCGTTTCAATGCGGTCTTTCTTTCTGAAGCCTGGTGGGTGCTTCTTCATTGCTCAGGAGGTGCTGTTCATTATGCTGGAGGCTGAGAAAATTTTTGACAGGACGATGATGAACGCTGATCTGGTTTCAGCTGCCCCTTGGATGGTCCTCTGGGCAACCAGGGGCTATGCTCATATCAAGACCAAAACGTATTTTTGACCCTTTTCGAGTACTGAGCATTTTCTGAGTCCTTAGCTTATTGCCCAACTGTCCTTTTTGCTTCATTTCTCTTTAGAATTGTATTTTCTCTTCTTTAGAATCCAAAATCTCTTTTTGTTGTTTGAGATTTTGGATTATAGTTTTGATTTCCTTACTTACATGTAATCGATTTAGCAATGAGATGGGCTGCTAGCC